TAATAAATATAATAATAAAATATATATTAGGGGAATCACGTGACTTATAAAATATTTTATTTTTATTTTTAAATTTTATAAAATATCAAGTTTTTTAATATATTTTACTTTATAATATATATTAGGCTTACTAATATATATTAGGCTTAGTAATATATATTAATTTATAATAATATATATTATTATTTAATATAAATTGAAAATAATAATATAAATTCAATAAGATATGACTTTTCGACTATATTGACTCTTGATATATATCAGCCGGCTGATACAAATGTGGGCGTGCTGATACGGTATCACAAACCCCCCCCAGCGCCTGCATGGCATTGTACCTAGTATAGGTGGCTTGCTCTTCTTCGTAACAAGGTTAAGAAATTGGACTAGGCATCTCCGGACTGGCTCAGAGATCACGCTTTCTTGCATCACCAGGTTGGCCGGCTATAGTTGTGGCGCCTATGCTATCTTTGCCGTGTTTGATAAATCGAAATAGACTAACCAGAGATTAACAAAGGCTTTATCCCAACAGCTGAACAATATAATATAATATGTATGTATGTATGTATGTATATAAGATGACATGATAACGGTTGAATGTTATGTCAGAAAAACATGATGTTTCAGCAATTGCTGCTAGCAATCGAGGGCATGATTGTCTTGGAAAATCGTGTAATCCTGCCAAGATATAGTAAAGTTGCTTTTAAAGAAAACCAATGCGCCCAACGCCGGGGAAAAGGGGGGAGAGGGGGTAAGAGAGAAGAGAGAACAGATAAACAATACAAGTAACTCTAGGTAACAGGACGGCGCGGCTTAAAGAAAGACTCGGGCAGAAACATAACTATCACACCATTAACCCGTTCCAGCATATAGTTAGACTTTTTATATGAACCCCTTTCAGCAACAGCCAAATCGCCTGAAAACTGTCGAAGAGGAGACGCATATCCGGGATGTTCAGTGCCCGACCGAGGAGGATGATGTACAGAGTAATAAGATGAAATCTACGTAGTTAAGCTCAATGTGATTTTATCAACCCAATCGGTTATATCCTTGGCTGCAGACTCCCATCCGTCAGGAACAGCAGCTCCAACCTTGCGCGCAGTCTAACTTGCAAAAGGTAAGATGATCAGAACCACAAAGCTTTTTTGGCACGCAGAGAGTACGGCTGGGTGTTCGAGAGATCCGGCTTCCTGCGGGCGGAGATTCCGGTTGACCAGTTTATAAACCTCAGGGCATGATTGCCACTGTATATGCACTATCCCTGCATAATGTCCTATGTGATTTTGTTAGAATCACGCTCATCACTTGGGAGTAAGATGGCCACTGACACTGGCAATTCTACTTTTGCTCCGCACTTTGGGACCGTAGAAAATAAGTGCCCAGGGGACCATTGTCAGGAGTAAGCTCTGCGCACTAAGATCAGACATTTCATCAGACATTTCCTCGTTGTAATAACGGGACTCACAATGCCGCCCAACAAACTCGATGCGCCCGCGAAGGTCAATCGTCTGAACATGGCTTCAGCAAAGAGTGGAAATGTCCCGGCAAACATGTTTCGACCTGCCACATCATTAACTCGGGCTATTTCCATGTGCACAACCTTTGGACGGGGAAGTACAGAATGACTGCGCGGCCAGTGCCGAGCTAGCGTAGGGACCGTAGGTGTCGGTCAAATAGTTGAACACAGCGAGATAAATGGAAAACAGGCCCATTGTCGCACAGCCAATGGCCAGTGTAGGGAGTGTCCAGTGGACGGACGGCGCGAGGGTCCCGGCAAACCAGAAGAGCGCGATTGGAAGAAGTGCGCTCTGCACACTGCTCGGATACAGGCGGCCCTCGGGTGTGGAAGGAACCCTGCGATAGCAAGCGGCGAGTATGTTGTCTTGAAAGCACCCAATAACTGTGGCAATGAGAGAGCCAGTGCACATTGCTATGGCGATTTACAGGGGTAAGCATGTAGCACTGAAAGGTGATCTGTTCCTTGATCTTAGCCTTACCTGCAAAGACTGCGCCGTTTTGCTCCAGGTTGAAGTGGTGGTTAGTTGTAAAGACAAGGGGAACGATGCTGAACGTCAGATATAGAACAGCCCAGCTGAATGCAGCCCATAGCGAGAAGAGAAATACCACGGGTTCCGTGACCAAGAGCTCTGCAATGGAGATTAAGGATCAGCCCAGGCACCACAAATAGTGTCTCGAGGAAGGACTACTCACGGAACGGCCGATACAGACTTATCCCGAGCACCTGAGCCAGAGAGGTTCTGAGCTCATCCGACTGGACTTTCCATCTGATCCTCAGTGTCCCATGCACCGAGCCAGTTTCATCAAGTGGGATCCCAACGTCCACCAGCCCAGCTTTCTCTCTAAGCTCATACCACGTGTTCAGGGCCCTAGCCTTCCGACTAAGGATAACACTCCCTCGAGTTTCGTCAAATAGCAAAATCACCAGAAGAATAGAAACTCCACAGGTAACCACCTGCACCCAAAACACCCACCTCCAGTCGGCCCTCTGCGCCACAAACCCCGAGACTAGGGGCCCAAGCCCCGTCCCAAAAAGAGCAGAGCCCGTAAACAGTGCCATCGGTGTGTTCCTCTCCTGTCGGGCATAGATATCACCAATCACGCCGCCTATCGTCGAGCTAAACGAGGAGCCTCCAATGCCCACAAATAGGCGCGCCACTAGCAAGCCGGGGAACGACGTTGTCAGCGCGCACCCCAGTTGCGCAACAAAGAAGATGATTCCTGTAACAACAAAGACGGGCTTTCGTCCGTTGAGCTCAGAGAAGGGCGCCAGGATCATTGGGGCGATGCCGAAGCCAACTGTAAACGTGGTGATGCCGAGCGTCACTACAGTGCGTGTAACATCCCACTGTGTCGTAAAAGACTCTAGCGCGGCGTCGTAGGCGCCAGCTGCATAGCAGACAACAGTGGAACAGAGACAGGAGAGGGCAATAATTGTGTGTTTGCGGACTCTGGACCAGGTCAGGGGTGAGGCATACTGAGCGAGATCGGTGGGCACTGGCGCGCGTGACTCGTCTGCTCCCGTTGGTAAGAGTTGGCTGGGATGGGGTAATAACGTCTCAAAGGTAAGGTATTGATATGTAATTGAGTCCATTGTGCAGCCGCAATTTGTAGATTTTTTTTTCTTTTACCGGGTTAGGGGCGAAAGACAGTAATTCCGTGGAGAAAACCAAATAGGCCTGTTCAGCTCACAACAAGAAGGTTCAGTACCTATATAAACCTATAAAACACCATATTCACCATGGCAAGTATACATAAAAGTGATTTCCTGCCATGTACACGATGAACAAATGGATAGGACTTCCCCAGCCCTGGTTAGATTGCCATCAGAAGATTCAAAGAATGCGTTGTTTTACGGAGATGTGTCGGGCGTAGCTGAACTGGGGTTTGTAGCATCTATGGATGGATACTCTGGTTGCTGATCTTCGTATTTCTGCTGTTACCAGGCTGCGCGAATATTCATTGTACGGTTGTGCAATCCTATGAGGCTGCATTTCGTTGTCTTTTCTTAGTGCAGTAAACACGAGGCCGCACCAAGCTGACTGCAGCATACTCGGCCCCAGGAGGAGGTTGTTTCATACCTTATACAGTCAGCCTGTACCTAGGTAGCAAGGTTAACCCCTACCATACTCCTCTTTCATATTAAAGTCTCAACGAGTTATCTAATTGGACATGCGGTGCAGCACTGTACCATCATGTTAGTAGATATGGAAGGCCGGAATTGCGGTGAAATGACCACCATTGAGTGAGTAGGAAGGCCATGAAAGCGTGAAGACAATTAACAAAGGGTGTTGAAGTTGAATCAAGACAAGGATTGATTGTTTGAACCCGAGACCTGTTACGAGACATAGTTGCGCGATTTGCAGGTTTACCGGTCAGCTTATCTTTCGCTCACAGAAGTCGATGGCTTACTTTGGGTTGGTAGATACGTATCTACCCAAGTCTACCTAGGTAGGGAACATGGGAGCTCATTATAAATACCCCATCAATCATCATGACTCCCGAGTTATTATGCTGATACCACCACCCGCACCGTTGACAACTGTTCCCCTTCACAAATCTCCTCTTTTTCCCCACTTTGGCGGTGCAAGTGACTATGGCTTCTGAAGGAGCAACGACAGTTCTCAATTTGGACCATTTATCTTGGACGAGTGTCGCAACTCGAATCTACCGGTCGTTAATCGAGGTCAGCAACGGCCTTAAGGCTGAAAGAGTGCTCTTTAAGAGCTCTCTACCCTTGGACCACATGTTGCTGAGAAAGCAGGCCGAGGAAGCTCTTGAGAGAGCGTGGGCAAGTCCGTACCATTGGTTTGCCCGATGTCACTGGATACCAGATGATGAGGGCGGGCTTGCATTGATTATTCTGTCGACCCGCCAGTACAATTCCTACAGTCCCTCTCACAGCGGCCTCCTGGCCGCCATTTCTCTCATGGAGAGCTCAGAGCTTTCGCCCAAAGTGTTATACCGACTCGCGTTCGAACTCGACAATCGATCGCTTCGCCACTCTGTACCGGAGTCGGCCGACAAGGCTATGCTGAAGCTCCTCTCTGTGGCAAAGAGCAACAGTCTGTTGTTGGCAGCTCTCGCAGCAGAGATTCTGACCAACCAAGGCATTCCGACCTTGCCCACGCAGGCCATTTTCAAATCCCAAGAGAATGCAGGAAGCTCAGCCCATCTGGTTAGCAATGAGACGCATGTAGCGGCTACCTTTGAGACCAGGATCAACGTCGATAGTTACAACTTCTTTGAGCTCGTTCATCCAGCCTACTTCCGTCAAACTGTCGCCCTGGCCGGTCTGGTCGCTCATTTCGTCAAGACCCCACACCCGCATGCCATTGATGTCGGCCCAGGGCCCGGTACCAATCTCCTTGCCTTTCACGAGTTGATGCCGGACACCCGAGTCCTTGCTATCGAGCCCAGTGACGTGGCGTTCTGGTACCTACAAGACCACTTCAAGGGGAACCCCAAAATCACCTGTCTGAAGGAAGACTTTCTGTGCGTCTCGCCTGATGTGGCAAAAATCGACTACATCATGTCAACGGGTGAATCGCACCATTTCAACACAGCCGCGTTTCTCCAGCGAAGCATGGAATGGCTGCGGCCCGGGAGCTACTGGTTCATTGCCGACGAGATGATCACCCCCTATGTAACCCGTGTCCAGCGCAGCCTGAACCTGCTACGCCACCACCTTGCCTACATGGCTCCCCTGTGCTTCCCCTGGTCCGCGGTGGCCAAAGACGCCGGAGGAACCGACTCCAGAACACCCGACGAACGGGCCTTTGTTGATGACTATAACCGCAGTGTTCCCCTTGCCAAGTTCTACGCAGATAACGAGGACGTCAAAGCCGCGGAGGCTATATGCAGGGCCCTGCTCACACGCTCCGAGCAGTTCGGGTTTACAACAAAGGTATCGGATCTGCGACTTTCCTTTTGGCGCCTTCAGTGGCTTGAGCTTCAGGCCCTCGTTGCCGGGCTTGATTACGAAGTTGAGCAGAAGACGTCGCCGCGGCATTTTATCAAGATGGCGGAGGGGGCTGGGTTTACCCTGATTAGGCATGAGCGCGTTTATGGAACGGATGGCCCTTCGGAGTTTGGTGGTGGAACGCATGTAATGGCTTTCCAGAAGAGTTGAGGGATACTGCTTGGCCTAGTAAGCGATTGCGCTTGTTATATCCTCATGCAAGAGATAAAGTGTGTCCAGCCGGACTTCTAACTCATGAGTACTCGAGGGGTTTTCCTCATATGCGAAACTTGCTATCAGGGTGTAGGTAATGCACCGGGCATGATCCACTCCACCTGGGCACGCTCGGGGCCAGTCCCAGGGCAGAACGCAGACATTATGCACAATGTACGGAGTAGATGGATTCGGTCAATGGATTCAGCGCGACCAACGAGTATAAAACTAACTGTAATTCTAGAGGTTATTCCATATTTGAATGTGTCAAGCCGACAAGCGAAAGGTCATCGCAGACCGACTCCTCCGCAGCGTTCCTCATCCCGGAGAGCTCAAACATTAAAATCACGCGACACACTATTGTAGAGCCTACAAACCTCGCGATGAGTTTAAGGCTATCGAGCCATCCTGTGATCCCCCCTTCATTAGTAACTGGATAGTAGACAAACGCCAAACGTAATAACCCTTACCAAGAAATTGCAGCGTACTGAAAGTAACCGTCCCATAGAGAAGGTGTGCGGCAGTATAGATAGATGTCAACCAAGACACTGCAAGAAATGGCAAAGTCTCCGGGACCTCTCCCAGTTGCAGCTTTCCATGTGTTATGCACGGCGTTGCTTCATGCTTTAGCCGGTCTAGAACCGCATTCGTCCATGAGCGGGTTATATTGTCGGGTTTTGCATTTTTCGTCTGCACCGCCAGAGCCAGGCACCAGATTCCGCAAAGATAGGTTGGAACAGTCAGAGCCGCCCACAGTACGGCGTAAAAGTCTTGGTCACAGTCGATCATGTTAATGGTCTACCGCCCAGCATAGAACGCCGCTAGATACACATTCGCGACGGCCCCCGCAACAAGCGCATATTGTACTATCGAGACACAAGCCGCCTGTACCGGGGAGAAGTATATCGGTGCCAGCCGTCCCTTTCGACCTTTCAGATCTTCCACCGGACTCGGATAGACGAATGTACGGAGGGGACTGACGGAGGGGGAACCACACGCGAGGAGCAGTGCGAGGAAGGGTCGGCGTCTGGCGAGAAGAGCGAGCTCTGCGGTGTTGGAGCCGAGAAGCGTGAGGATGGAAGGCATGAGGCCTAGCGCGATGACGGCGCCTGAGATGTCGCCTTTGATTGCTTCGCTGGTTTGTTCGAGAATGCAGTTTAGCAGGGGGTGGCAGGTGTTGGGTTCTCCGGCTTGTTTGCGTGCGAAGAGGTCGGCACACGCGCTGTCGCGGATTCTGATGAACTCTGCCCGATGCATTGGGAAGAAGTTGACAAACCGCGTGTCTGTTGCGAAGGCGTGCGAGACGCAACTCGCCAGGATTAAAAGGAGCATGGTTTCGGCATTGCTCAATCCCGTGTCGATGTCCATCGCCCCTGGGGGCAGATCTACGTTCGCACCTGTGTAGAGAAACGAACGATTGAATTGTTCAGATCCCGAAAGAAATAACAGCAACGAGTAGGTGGGGTCGATCGCTCACAGACGTCCTGCCCACCATGACGGACTCTCAACGGAGGTCGCATCAACCGAGTGGCGGAGAACATTCTGGCTTTCTGTCATGTGTAGCGATTATGCAGGACAGACCAGGCGAGGCTCTGGTTGTTCGGACCCATCCACCAGTCAGACGAAACACACGCTGACGACTATAGCATGTCCCAGATATATACCAGGCAACAGGGTGAAGAACGTCTGACCTTTTCAGCGACCATCTGGGCGACAATTTGCGGCGACATGGAATCTCGACGCCAGCTAGGGTAGGCCCCGGGGCCTCAGGTACCTACTGTCTACTTCCAGCAACATGCTTCCTCGCCAAGAGCAAGCATGCAAGCTACAGAGAATCATCCGCCGAGCAATCAAGAGCGGGTCAACAATACTCCTTCCGGTCTAGAGATCTCCCGGAGACTTTGTGAACACGATCGATAACACTCCCATTCCTTTCTCACCCCGCCGATTGGTTGTTCGCGAAGGACGATTTCACCGACAGTATCGCATTCTAGTGTCTAGCGATGTTGACTGAAAAGGTGGGCAAGATGATGGCAACCCCGGGGGCAACGAGTCTGGCGTACGTGCATGCATTTTCAGTTCCACCTGGATTCCCCTCGAATCCTTGCTTACTTTTCATTGCGCACCTTAGAACGACGGCAGCAGGAAAGGAAACATGCAGCCCGTCTCGCTCAGGAACTCACCTGCAGTATCCCTGCCAGACTTCAGCGCCCTCTCCAGCACTGAATTACTACCGGTTCCCGCATCCTACCTTCCAGCTCCTACCCGTTTTCAAAAGCCAAACTTCAACACCAGCAGGTCTGACAGAATACTCTGAATCTCTCCAGCAGCTGTTCCAGCTCACTCTGCGTCACGACTGCACTGGACGCAGTAAGTTCAACGGCGAGAATGTCACCTTTCACCTCTGACATCAAGTCAATTGACTCAGCCGGGTAGTCAATTGGAATATAGTCTGCCAGACAGCAGGATACCCCGTCGTCGATCTGATACTCCGTCCCAAGGCCGAACTCTAGATGTATGACGTGGCTCATTGGTTGAGTGTCCTTGGGCCAACCCGTGGCGTTTGACACAATGCTTTCCCACTCCGCTGCTTGGTGGGGTAAGGACTGGGCTTGCTGCTCTTGGACAGCATGGAGGAGTTCCTGGGCTCTTTTGTGTTTTGCGTGCTGCACACGGACCGGGACGCGGTTCAAACACGGGCCCATTGTTCGGTGGATGCCGGGTACGTCTACGTCGCGCGTTGAGACGAGCTGTGCGAAGATGACGTCGTCGGATTCCCATTTTTGCCGGAGGACGAGAGACCAAGCTGCTTTGACGGCTGTGGCGAGGGTGATTCCTCTCGGTAGAGGATGGATCGGCATGGTTGATTTGCTGCGGATGAGGGTCTCCTTGGCTTTGGGCTTGTCGTCTGACCTTTGCTGTGGAGAAGGAGGAGGTGTTGGTAGGCTGTTGGTGGTCGGATCAGCGAGATGGCGCTTCCAGAACGTGAGTGCCTCAGGGGTCTGTCCGTCTACGATGCTTTGCATGTAGGGGGCGAAGTCGATTGACTCAACGGGGTGATTGGGGTCTTTATAAAAAGTGCAGAGGTCTGAAAGGATTGCCTGCTGGCAGAGGGCGTCGTATTGGGCGTGTGAGAGCTGGATGATCAACACATTATCCCGTGCTGAACCACTGACCAGAGTCAGTTTGATGGGTGGAATATCCAACGGACATGCTTCTTCGGGGGATAGTGCACACAGACCCCGTGCGGTCGATAAAGCGTCGTCGGTGGTATGAGGGTGCAAGGCAAGGGGCACTTCAATGCGTTTCAGAACAACCTGGTAGAGCCTGCCATCCTGACGGGTGAAGAGCGATCGAAGTGCAGTGTGGGCGTCTATCAAGCGCTGGCATGCGGCTCGCAGTCGATCATGACTGATGGAGCCAGAGAAACGAAGCAGAAAGCAACCACCTTCGTTGTGCAGCCATTGCTGCGTCCGAGTGCAGGGGAAAATATCAACCACCGTTTCCGGATCGATGCCAGGGGGTATCAATTGCTTAAACTGTTCCTTGCGATCAGCCGCGGTAGATGCGCCTCCTTCGCTGCGAACCCTTTCTCCAGCTTCGCTTCCACCACGATGCTCAGCCAGCTCGGCTAATGACATCTGCTGGAATACATGTCCGGCCGTAAAAGAGAACCCGACTTCGCGCGCTCGACTGATCAACGTCATCGTTGAGATGGAGTTGCCGCCGATCCCGAAGAAGGTGGCATTCATGCTGATGCTCTCAGGGTCCAGGTCCAGGATCTCGGCGCAGATGTCCCGGATCATGATCTCACCGTCACTACATGAACGACGGTGTTCCTTGTCGATCATGTGGTATGCTTGCAGCTGACTGCCTAGCTCGGAAGCTTTGCTGCGAAGGAGCTTGCGATTCAGCTTTCCCGAAGGCGTGAGTGGAAGGCTTGTGAGAGAAAGGAACGTAGTCGGAACCATGAATCTAGGAAGGACATCCTGCATCGCCCTCTGTGCATTTTGGCATTGGCTTGAGAATTGCTCCGTTGTAGGCGCAAATAAAGGTTCGCCAGCATCGCCTCCCACTTTTCCATCTTGCATCGTAACGAAAGCTACGAGAAGGGCGTCATTGTCGTCGCCAGTAGGACTCACCACCTCAGCAACTGTGGCCTCCGCTTCAGGAAACTGCTTCTTCAGCTGGACCTCCACCTCTGCGAGCTCTATCCGCTGGCCTCGCAGTTTGACCTGGGTACCAAGGCGTCCAACATACTGAAGCAATCCAGTTTCCGGCCGATATCGAACCAGATCACCGGTCTTGAGGAATCGCCGGCTCTCACCAGGTCGCAGCTTCCGGAACCATGCCGGGTTCTCAATAAACGTGGCTGCCGTCTGTTCTTCATTGTTGAGATAGCCGCGAGCAAGAGACGGCCCTGCCAGCCACAGCTCGCCTTCCGCTCCGATGGGAACAAGATCCTCGGATTGGTGGGGATCAACAACAAAGCAATGCGCTGCCCACGGATAGCCCATGTCAGACGGCTCCGAGTGGTCTGTTTTATTGTCAACTAATGCTCCCAAGCTGTTCTCACTCTGCCCATAGCACGTCTTGAGGTCAACTCGTCCTGTCCATCGCTCTAGATCTAACCGTGTGGCTGCCTCGCCGGTCAACACCACAGTTCCCAAACCGGGGACTTCGTTTGGGTCAAGGGCTCGAGCAACCGATGGTGTGATCTCTACCCAGTTCGCGTTGAATTCACGCAATGTGCTTGCCAAGCTATTCTGGATTTGATCGGATGATGGTACGCAGAGACAGGCACCATTCATCAGTGCACCTAAGTGGTCCAGGATACTGATCACGAACGAGTAGGACGCAAATTGGAACATCCTGCTATTCCGACCGAGACCCATTCTGTCTGAGTACGCATCCATCCCGCTGCATACAGCTGCATGCTGGACCACCACAGCCTTTGGGTCCCCAGTCGATCCTGAGGTAAAAGCCAAGTAAACTGCCTGATCGGAATGGCCTTTAGGTAACAAAGATGTTGTCCATTGCTGATCGCATTCGTCTTTCGCTATCAGCACATCCGGGCCATACTGACGCGCTCTCTCGGACAGGTCTGAAGATGTAATAATGGCGGCGGCCTCGGCTATTTCACACATTCGCTTGATTCGTTGATCTGGTAATGAAGGATCGACGAGGAAGATGGCACTCCCGGCTTTGAGGACGGCGAGAAGGGAGACAGCTGTCCACATGGACTTGTTGAAAAGCAAGGCGATGAACTTGTTGGGACCGCATCCGTTGCAAACTAGATGAGATGCCAGAGTCGTCGACATGCGATCCAGCTGGGAATAAGTCAGACTGCCATCCCAGGCGGAAATGGCTTCAGCTGAGGGATTGGCCCTGCACTGCTGAGTGATGATGTCGTGTACGCAGCAGTCCTTCCGACGCAGTTGAACCCGAGAGTTCCACGCCTGGATCTGCTGGAGGTCTTTCGAAGGGATATTGCTCGCCATTGTGCCCTGGATGATGATTCGCGTTGTCAAATCGGTTCCATGGGTTGCTGCCTCTTATGAAGAACCCAATCTCGCTGATCTCCGATCAGCAGTTCGTGATCGACGAGCCAGCGATCATCACAAATACGTAAACGACCCACTCGGCGCACGCGAAGGAAACGAGTCAATGACGAAATCCCACATTATTTTAGCCTTGCCCCTTATTATTATGATGATGACGGAAGCATTGCTCTCTGCGGCCTTTATTGTTTGACAACCACTCGCGATGGCCAGCGAGGAACTCCCGTGGCACGTCCGTGTCCGGACCAGCAAGCGCTTCATTGTTGGCTCTGTCATCATCGCCGTCTTTACCGTACGTTTAATTCTACGGAGTGGTTTGTCCTGATTTCATGGTCGTGGCTAACGCTGACAGGACACCGCTCTTTATGGGTATGTCTAGCGGAGATACATGGGCCTCGATATATCAGGCTCCCAGCTGACAAGGATAGCCTCCTCACACCTGTCCTCCCAACAGTCATCCATCAACGATGTGCTGTCGCAGAACAGCAAAGTTAGTGGCCTCGCTGTCCTCATGGGAGACCGGATGATAACAGTCAGTCAGTCCAATTCTTTACCTCCCTGGCCGTGGGCATGATGGGTGCTGGCAACATGATCGGAGCATGTAAGCATCAACCGATAAAACATACTACGTCGAGTTCGCTAATGAGCACTTTCAGGTCTATTTGGCTACCTGGCTGGTACCTCACCCTGCTGTTACCTAGACTCCCTAATCGTCCCAGGGCATGCGTCTAATCAGAGCAATAGACCACACCCGAAACCGACGCAACCCGTTCCTACTAGGCCTATCCATCTTCATCGCCGCGACCGCCACAATCTGGGCTGCTCACCACATCGCCCTGATGGTCATTGGGCGCTTCTCCCAGGGCCTGGCTTCAGCTGCCGTTTGGAGCGTCGGACTTGCACTACTGGTCGACACTGTCGAAAGCGAGCATGTTCCGTCCGCAATGGGCTGGGTCAATCTCGGATTCTGTTCGGGGACTGTCGTCGGTCCCATGGTCGGCGGCTTCGTGTACTCGTACGCCGGGTTCGACGCTGTTATGGGCGCGGCGGTCGGGTTATTGGGGGTGGACGTGGTTCTTCGGATTCTGATTATCGAGAAGAGCGACGTTGACGCAACGTCAAAATTGAAGGATGACAGCCCTGATAACGAACGTACTAACCTCCTACACCAATCCCGACCAGACAATCACGAAGTCGAATATGAAGACAGCAACGACAGCAGACAGAGTGAATCTGAGTTCGCGTACAAGACTCTCCTTAGCTCACGCAAGTTCCTCACGAGCCTCGGTTGCGCCCTCGTTCAAGCCATGACCATGGGCGCATTCGAGGTTACGCTGCCGCTGCATCTTCAGAAAGTCTCAGATTACGCCCCATCTCAAACGGCTCTTGCGTTCGTCCCACTCATGGTTCCTGCGTTCTTCGCGCCCCTTGTCGGTACGTTTCCCTAGTTCATCTTGAGGCCATTACGTTGACTAGTATAGGAACCGCTTGCGAACACCTAGGAAACCGCATCGTCGCATGGACTGGCTACGCGGTTCTCGGTACAATGCTTGTCCTGCTGCGCTTGCATACCGGCGACAGTACGATTCAGCAGGTTGGATTATTTGTGGACCTCGCATTTATTGGCACGGCGATGACAATGATCATGACGCCTGTGCTCGCTGATATCTCGGTTGTTGTGGATGCGCTTGAGGAGGAGAGGCCAGGCAGGTTTGGGCCAAGGGGAGCGCAGGCACAGGGGGTGAGCATATTGGGCTCTTTCTACTTCATACAACTCTCATTGTTGACTTGGTATAGTATGGACTTTTCGAATTGTTCTACTCCGGAGGGACTCTTGTGGGACCTTTGCTAGGTGTGTGCCCTGTAACTGTGTCCGTGTGCTACAGTCAACTAATGAGGCAAATTATGGCAGCCGGCTGGTTGAGAAATGATTTCTCGTGGGGTGCGATGACCCTGGTCCTGGGTAAGCAGTTCCTTCCCTGCTTGTTCTTATGCCGTACTGAATCGTTAGGGCTATTGAACTTGAGCACCACTGCCCTCATTTTATCTGGACCTTAAGTCCCCGTGCAGTAAAGACAGTCTCACGGTCTGCTCCAGCTAGCCACCAATAGTTTTGATAGCAGGCCGAGTACTATCAAGACTGCCCCATCTATCTGTTGGAATCTAATTGGTTCGGAGAGTCTCTGGCCAGTATTTAGCTGTTCCAGGGTCCTCGTCCCAGAGAGCTCGAGGGAAGACCTCGAACATGTCCTGCAGCTGTCAGGCCACTCTAGCGTGGTTGAGTTAGGGCTCGCTTTTGGGCCCGGCTCCAGTGTGATCCACCGGGCCCCCTCCAGTCTTCTCTTCAGGTGGCAACTGGATTACGGTCCGGGGGTACAGCTTTATGTAGCTACCTACGATTATACAACAGCGATAATTCTCAGTCATTGGTTTTCTTATTCACCCTAGATACATACATTGCCATATTCTAATTTCAACCTGGTATCATAGCATATCATCCGTTGAATCAAACATCATTCCTGGTACAAACCCCTCCGCCTCTTCGTCCTCACTCCCACATACATGGGGTCTTCAAGCATTGCTCAAGTGCCCATGAAGCACGGTAGATACTCTGCTCGCTTTAGAGTAGGCACTGACAATGGCGGGGTTGGCGAAGGAGACGGTTCCGGTGTGCAACGCTAGTTTGCCGAGGAGGCTACACTATACTAGAGGTACCCTCGGTATCATGTTTACGTCCTGAACTACCATGCTTGAAATTCTTTGCACAGTACATTATCGTCGAACCTCGTATCTTGAAAACAGAAACTGGTTTTCAAACCCGTTCACAACCCACCCTGCAAGGACCTCTGGTAATTCCACCATCACCGCCACCATCACGCCGTCATTTTCGCTGCCTTCGGAGGGTTCAGAAGCTGGACGGGGCTCGCCCGATACCCGGCAGAAAGGCGGAAATAGACGGCGGCGGGCTGGACATGGTGGTGGATTGTGGGTGTGGTTGTTTTGCTGAGGTGTGTTTGGGGGTGGGGTTCAAGGTCGGCCATTTCATGTCCACTTTAGGAGGATGATCAGGAAGGCGAATATGTGATTGCCTGAGTTGAATCTGACGAGTCAATAATGATGGGATGGTCTTCAATTCAAGTTGTCGAACTGGGAATGCATGCCCTGCACACGTCTAGGCCGAGTGGTAGGGTGTCGGTGTAGAGAATATTTCCACATGGCGGATGGTCTTTTCTTCGCCGGATGCAATGGGAACTTTTGCATATGTTCTCCACGGTGTTGACGTTTCAATGCAGCCTGGGGTCTGGCATGTACAAGGCACTCCCGTGCTTTGTGGTAATGCTGCTCATGGACCCGGCCTCCCTGGCCATACATTTGCTGTTTCTGTTTCCCGCCTCTTGACGCATGGATTAAACACTCTCAGGCTCACCCTTTGGTACTCGTCACGACCGGACAGCCCTCTGGATGTGCCGACTGAAGTCGACTTCCACCGTCATCATTCTCATCCGCCGGATTGTGCTGCCAATAATGGCTCCGTTACCTTCTGGCGAATGATCGCCGAAGTCCTTGGAAGACAAATCATCTGCATCATGACCGGAATTGCATGTAGGCTCCTGCGGGCGCTGATATGTTCTGCGCGTATTTCGTGCCCTGAATACCCTACCCCTGGCGCAACCATTCAACGCCCAAAGTAACTAATTTGAGTTCAAACTCGCGCTTCCCCGGCACATCTACCCGGTATGGCTCTCGAGTCTCGACCTCGTTATCTACTCTCCAGAGAGGCCCTAGCTGTTCTATCATGAGATACTCGGGATCCTGGGCCCCCACCGCATCGCCCTATAGTGATTCGTCAATGCCGCGGCTCGTTGGACCCATGAGTGAGGTTTTTACCGATTGAATCACTTCTGGCTCGGGTTCTGCTTCAGATTCTTCCTTCGACGGTGCTGTGATCGGACCTTGATGTATACTCTACCCCTCGACCACCATCTCGCCGCATTGCGAGCTAGAGCACCTACTATGTTCGCGAGAATACCTCTAGACTCGATTTATCTCGGCTCCGAAGGACGTAGGTGATCATCAAGAAGGCATGCCGTAAACCTAGGCCGTGAGAGACGCAGGTACCCTAGTATCATAGCGGGGACACAACAGCATAAAGTTGGTTGACAAGTGAAGACAGCCACCCTTCACCACCCTATATTTGAGGCATCTCCCCGACGATTTCTGTACCCAAGCTCTTTATCTGGCTCAGGCTTGCCAGTAGTCGGGCATTTCGAGAAATCTAGCTGATCGGCATTTGTAGAGTTAACCTTAGGACGAAAGGCAACCGACGATCGGTAGTCCCTCTATAGCACAAATGATCCTGACAACCTGACACAACTGGAAGATAGCCAGTCCGTTTGCATTCCCCTTGATTTGGGCATCCTACCCAGATTATGGACCTTGCACTGGTGTAAAGGGCGTAGACCCTGCATGAGAGCGCGATATGTCTCTTTGGGCACACGTCTACCTATTGGCGTGTCGAGGTCTTCATCTACTTTCTTCTTTTCTTCACCCTGAACCGGTCATCAGACTTTAGGCTAGCGAGCTCCTACATACAGCGGGGTGCAAATGCTGCCAGTGATCATGTCCCCAAGATCGTAGGGATTGTTCATGTCTAGACGCGAACGGCCCTGGTAAAACGTATTCAGGATTAACCTTTGGGCAAATTGTTCGGTGATCTTGTTTTCCAGCTCGGTGTCTTTGCAGTGGAAGTACATACCGGGTTTAGTGAAGATTGGGAGAAGACAACAGGGAATGATCAATATCTGGTTGTGCCAATTGCTGCATGGCTGGTGTAGAGCAGTCCTGAACTTGTCCCGGAAGTAGTTCAGAGTGTCTGCAGGGCTGCAGAGTAAGTGTTGGTCGTGGTGAAGTTCAACTCGGCTCTATCGGGCTCGCTTCTTGAACGCTTCGAGGCCTTTCGTCTGCATCGCGATTCCTTCGCGGTAGGTGGGAAATCGCCTTGTTGACCGAGCAAAACCCTGCGAATTGCTCACTGGAGTAAGGTGGAAGAGCGGGTTCAGCTGACTTCAGGCTTAGAATATCTCGTCCTCATTGCAGGCTGAGACGATCCCCCGATGGCGCCCAGGAGGCAAGTGAGCATCGACATCCTCTTGCCCCACCAGATCCGGTGTAGACCTTGAGGTTGCCTTGAGAGCACCCTGGGGCATCTGGCGAGACCCACCCAGCAGCGGTGTCACTCGGTTCTTTCTCTGTTCCTCTAGACGCCGATGCGATATCGTAGACCCTGTGGATTTTCTTGTTTCGCAGACAAAAGCGCAAGCTGCTCGTGGGAGTAAGGTGCTATAGCAAGTTAGTACAGAGTATATCTCCATAAATAAGGGACAAGGTGGCCGTGCAGCGACCCTACAGGGGAGACAAACGAAAAGATTCTCCCCTCTTGCGCTTCCATGAAGCATACCGTAGAATGTCTGCCCCTTCAACGATCTTGCCTTCGAGGATTCCAGCGTCCAAGGGCCATTTCCCCATCTCCATCGGTATCAGGGCGTCATCTCCGCCCCCGCCCCATATCGAAACGGCGCCCTCACCTCTTCCACGGCCCCCTCGCGAGAGTCCGGCATCTGTTGGGGTAGCCCTCCTGGGTGTTCGACGTCTACCCTATAGGCTCGTCAGCATCACCCGCTACAGAAGACGATTTGCAAATATCCTCAGTGCCTACCCTATCACCCCCGAGAACCCGAGGCTTCAGCGACGGTCTCTTGAAGTACGATTTGAGCAAGCCGCACAGGGTCCTGGGGCTGTTCTGCGGCACCGACAAGCATGCAAGCAGTCTGCTAGTGCGAATCTTCGCAAAGCCAGTAGATGCCGGTACCCATAATATTCTGGAGAAGCGCACTTGCAGCGAGTAGTCGAGACAGAACCTGGCAGGTAGGGCGCGAAGCGTGCGAGACGTCAGTCTTGGATATGCTCAGATAGCTGATGGATGCAGACGATGGCGGACAAGTCGAGGGGCAGCGGCAGAGACAATGGGGTATAGGGAAGGAAGAACGAGAGAACCCTGTTGCGCGGAAATCAGCCAGGTATTTATACCCCGCGAGGAGAGCACTGCTCGTGAAGGGAGGGCAAATGCGATGGACGGCTTTTCACCACGACCTTCATGGGAACTGTGACGAGTCTTGTCAATGCCCGCTGGGTGTATCTGGACGTCACTGGTTAGAATAAATCATGGTCACTTTAGCTGGGAAAGGGGGCTAGCGGTTACTGTCCTGTGACTATTGCAACATTTGATATAGGTGAACGTGATTATTCCTGATAGAGAAACGAGTTTCAATGAATGCAGCATTACCAGAAGTGGTTAATGATACAGTTAACAAGTTTGATTTACGGACAAAGCTTCACTCCGGGAGTCTGAGCATTTTCACTATATTGCTTCGTATATTCATCACTATGCCGTTATCTATGAGGACCATCTATCATCGTCAACATCATCTAGTATGTCACTCTAGGTGACTGCGCATCTATTCGATCTTAATGGCAACCTTCCCAAAGTGGTTCTGTCCCCACTGTGAAAATCAGGTTAGTATGCGCGCTCAAGTGCCCTGTGATTGGGTAACTTACCATGTACTCATAAGCCTCCTTCGTCTTCTCAAGTGTAAACACCTTCTTGTCGACGACAGGATGAATGTTGCTGGCCTCAATGGCGCCAACCATGTCGTTCATGAGCGCCTTGCTGCCGACGTACACGCCACGGACAGTGCAGATGTGGGTTAGTGTCTGCAGAACGTTGGGAATCTTGGAGGGATCCATTCCACCGACGAAGCCGATGACGGAAATGACACCCTCCAGCTTGATAGCCTTGAAGCTCTGCTCGAGGGTGCCAGAGCCGCCAACCTCGATGATGTGGTCGACACCGACGTTATCGCGGGTCAGGGAGCGGGCGATCTCGCCCCAGTTGGGCTGGGTCTTGTAGTTGAGGACGTGGTCGGCACCGAGTTCCTCGAGGCGCTTGGCCTTTTCGTCGGAGGAGGTCGTAGCGATCACGGTGGCGCCGGCTGCTTTGGCGAACTGTACCAGTTAGTACTGCACTAATGGTAGTAGGAAATTCGGCATACCTGAAGCGCGAAGACACTGACACCGCCAGTTCCCTGCACGAGAACAGTCTGACCAGGCAGAAGAGGCTTCAGTCCGTACAGCGCATTCCAACTTGTGAGACCGGCGCAGGTCAAGGTAGCTGCTTCCTCGTAGTTCAGGTTGCTCGGGGCGCGGACGACGCCGTTCTCGTTGAAGACACCGTACTGGCGGAGGGTACCGTCGAGAGCTCCACCCAGACCAGAGGCAGCGCCAGCAGGGTCAATGGGGCCGTACTGGTGGTGCTGGTTGAAGAGTGTAACGACCTTGTCGCCCTTCTTGAACTGAGAGACCTTGGAGCCGACCTCGACGATCTCGCCTGCGCCGTCGGAACCGGGGATAACGGGGAAGTTGAGGGCGAAGGGGTACTTTCTATTGAAACATTGTATTAGCTTCAATTCTTGCATCCGCCGTGGGTAAAGGAACGCACCCCTTGGGAATAATCAGATCGCGGTAGTTGAGCGACGCAGCGTGGAGCTTGACGAGAACGTCGTTGTCTCCGACGGAGGGGATCTGAGCCTCCTCGAACTTGAGCTCGTCGAAGCTCTTCTCCTTGCCCTTGACGGACCATTGCTTCTGGGTAGAGGGGGCCATTTTGCGGGATGTTCAACAATGAGATTGTCGTTGAAAAGTTCGCAAGAGACGGTAAAGCGCGGGACAAGGAGGAGGAGAGTATTTATAAGCTCCCAGTTTGACGTCAAGGCCCCCACTCCCCGCCAATTATTCATCCCAGCGAATGCGATGGAAAAGCTGGGACTGACCGTTGGACTTTAATTGTTTTGTGGTCCTGTGGATCGTATATAGATGTCGCTGCTATTCTCCGATTGGCCTGGTCTGATCCCTGCAGATTGGCTGCTAAGCTGCTTAGGCTCCTATATTAAGCCTGTTAATGCAGCACTACGTCTGTGTGCAGGCCGCCGACGTCATCACAACCAACGCTCTATATAACAAGAAACGGGCAACAGGCTCGGGACCTTCCTTCCCTCTTCCTCATCTTTCCTTCCATCTGAGTTGTCGGGGCCCCTTCGCAAATAAACCAGACTGTTTGACTGCCAAAATGTCCCTCAACACCGTCACCTCCGGCCTCGGCCAAGCAACAAACACAGCCCAGAACGTCGGCGACCAGGCCACCAAGCCAGTCACCAAAACAGTCAACGACACCACCAAGCCCGTTACCAAGACCGTCAACGACACGACCTCCAGTCTCCCGGGTACATTCCCAAAGGATGAGCCCCCGACCAACCGGAAGAACAACGTGACGATCCCCTCCTTCAAAGAACTCTGGGCGCAGTTCCTCGCCTGGATGAAGGGTCTTATCCCGCGAGGTGTTGATATCTTCGAGATGGCCGTCCGCCGGTTCATCCAGTGGCTTATCCCCCCCGAGCGCCAGGCGAAGCTGTACAAGGCGAGCATGGACCACCCCATCGCCGCCACCTTCGTGACGTGCCAGCTCCTCTGTGTCGGCATCCCGCTTATCCTCTTCATCGCGGGCACGCTGCTTTTCGCTGCTGTCGCACTGCTCGTCTGGGTTGTGCTCTCGATTCTGCTCCTCGGTCCGATTGTGCTTGTTGCTAGTCTGATGGGTATTTCGCTTTGGGGTTGGGGTTGGTTTGTCTTTGGGCTTGTGCGATGGCTGGATAGATTGGTGCTGGGGGGTATGATGGAGAGGTACTGGCAGGCTCAGATCGCGCAGCAGAAGGCTGAGGAGGAGGAGAAGGAGAAGGCGGAGAAGGAGGAGAAGGAGAAGAAGGAGGGTGAGGAAGCTGGAGGGGCCGAGAAGGAGACAAATGAGGAGAAGAGGGATGGCTAAGCTTTCCATGCACATGGTCTGGGGTCGTTGCGTATCGATATATGGCTTTTGTACTCGGGATGAGAAGGAGTTTGTTTCATTGGGTCTTCTAGCGGTAATCCAAGGGTGTTTCTAAAAAGCAATTAGGCCATCCACTTGTCTATCTACTCAATACAGTCGCTACAGATGGCCTTCTTGGGTGAGCTTATAAAAATAATTGCCTGTGTCCCGACAGAGGGTTCCGGGGCATAATCTTCGCTGGCGTCTGAGGCAGCCGTCTCCCCCCTTGCTATCTTCCGTTTTGTCCTGTGGTAAAAAGACATGTCGATCAACGAAATAAGCAATGGTGTTCTTTTCAGCATCAGATGCATGGTAGCAACCTGGCTGACCATGGTCCATGCTATCCTCCGTGAGGAGGATATGGTCAGCAAGAGCAGACAAGCTGAACACCTTGTTCGTCAATTGTTCATCTTTAGTTTCGTGGCCCCAGTCGCTCTTAGCGGCTATGGGTGGGAAAGCGCCACTTCTTTCTAGCACGGCGATGGACTTGTGCTGCATGTGCACTATGCCACCTTGCACAATCACGACACAACAGCTAAGTGTTCAGCCATCAGATAATCTAACAACGAAGTTCTCCTGGGGCTTGATTAATGAGCAGTGGCAGCCTATTATGGTATCACAAAGACTTCCCTCGAGGATTCGCGCAATCTCTTGCCGCTCTTCAGCTTAGACCTTGTGCGGAGAGTTGCAGAAACATATAATTAAAAGGGACGTCACTCTTCATCAATCTCTCCATGCAGTTTTTGGGGCTTGACTATGTAAGGCCTAAAGCTGTTCTTTTCTCGTCATCACGCAGATCCGCATCAGCTTCATAAGAGAGGAGTTTTTCTACTATCACCAGGTGCCCCAAAAGTGATGCTCCTATTAGCGCTGTCCTGCTGTCCTTGTTGCTAGTGTTTACTTCAACACCACTCTCCAGAAGTAGTACGACATGTCTGGACTATTTTTCCATGAGGCCACGATAAGGCATGTATCCCACTGCTCGTTCCTTCCATGGAGAAATATTAACTTGTCCACAGTGGCATCTCCGACGCCGGCAATCCATCCCGATAAGTACATAGCCCTGGTACCTCCCCTAATCCGCCTGTCATCCGCCTGCAGATGTCAGTCCGTCATTGATTACAACAAAATGTCATCCTCTCGCGCTGACCAGCCACCTTCAATGGCAAACCAGAATGACGCTTCGAATGGCCCATACACATGCACATACAGAGGCTACCCTGATTTGTTTGCGGTAGTTTCCGAGTGATTGGGATTTACGGGACTGTCCTAAGATGATTAGTCCGGGATTGGTGATCGCAAGCAGCGCAGGGAGATACAGAACCGCTTGAATCAGAGGGCTCTGCGTAAGTGCACCTCTGCACCTCGACACCTCAAAAAAAGGACTTTTTTTCCTTGGCTGACAGGTCTGCGAACAGGTCTGCGAAGAAATTGGAAGCTGGACAAGGCGTCCCCTCATCATAACACCAACACTAGCAGCAGCAGTAGCAGTAGCGGGTTGTCTCCTGAGGTGGAAGAGGAAGAAAACAACCCGCAAGTGGCGCCCCCGCCGGTTGAGATTATGGTACCCAACGGTCACATAATAATCAAAATAAGAATATTAAGATGGGGAGCATGACAACTCTCTCTCTCCTACCGTAGCTGCAATGGAGCAAGCGCACATTCTAGGCCCCCAATTGACAAAAACAAAGCATCTCCTACACCATTTCGAAGCCCTAGTCTACACGCAATACGCCCTCACCTCCCCGCGAACCGACCTGCTGGCACATGGTAGCTCTAAATCATCTATGGAACCAAGTTAATGCCAATAAATAAGCTGCTTGCCCTGAATAATCTCCCACGCTCTATCCAACACATCAACAATCTCATCCGGAAGCGGCCCGCCAGCCATCGCCCGCAGATTCTCATCGAGCTGCTTGACGCTACTTGATCCAAGAACCACGCCGTCTCCAAGCTCCTCCTTCAACTCGGAGTGATGCGACAGCCACCTCAGCGCACACTCAACCTCACTGACCCCGTGCCTCTTCGCAAGCGGGCGGAGCAGCTCCAGCGCATCAAAGTATCCATCATGGTAGTACCGCTTCCGGATATGAGCCCCCGACCGAGACGCCGGGTCGAAAGCGAGTCCCAGCCTCAACGGCGTCCGGTTCCCCGCGCGAACACCGACCCGTCAACATACCCGCTGCGAGCGGGTTGAAGCAGTAGAACGCGATCCCGTGATGGCGCAGGCACCGAAGGAGCTCGGGCTCCACGGCGCGATGGAACGCGTTGTAGATCCCCTGGCACACGGACGGCTTGACCCAGCCGTTGCGGTGGCAGATCTCGCACAGCGTCGCGACTTCCCAGGATTGGTCGTTGCTGATCCCGAGCTTCGCGAAGTAGCCTTCCTCGTACAGCTTGTTGACCTCGCGCAGCGTTTCTTCAAACGGGACGGTTCGGTCTGGGCTGTGGAGGTACCAGACGTGCACCCTGGGGACCTTGAGTGCGGCGAGGCTCGCCATCAATCCCGACCGCGTCGGAGATTGGCGGGGGAGTGGTGGTAGCTTGTTGTGGCCATTGCGGCGGAGGGGTTGGCGGCGGAGGGGAATAGTTTGGTGTCGACTAGGAAGGAGGGAGAGAGGTCCATTTGGCCTAAAAGGCCTCGGAGGACCCGTTGCCGTAGATCCGGGCTGTGTCGATGTCGTTGTGGCCGTAGCTTTTGAATAGGTCTATCATCTGCTTGGCTTGCTCGACGGTGTGCACTCGGGTGCGGCCGTCACCTGGACATTTGGTATCAGTCACACTGGCTAGACAGACTGTGTATCAAGAGAGTGCCTTTCCCGGTTTGCCGATATTCATAGCTCCGAAGACAGCTTTCATGATGGGCAGTAGATACAGCGGCAGGAATATTGACCAAAGATAATAAAGTGTTTAACGTATATCATTTTGCAAGGCAGGCCAACTGCTTTGCTTTATGCTTCTTCGACCCCCACCCAGCACGCATTATTCGCTAAGGGTGGGTCGAGTATGGCAGATGCTGACCGGCAGTGTCGAAAAGGAGTCTCCGTAATCTCCAAAAATCAGAACCCACAGATCACCCCAAACAAGCAAGCCCCAGCTGCAATTGTCATCCCAAGCCTCCCCTCCTGCCCCGTCCAGCATAGTCCAGAGGCCCATGAGATCTCGAGAACTGCGAATCGTCCATATCGTCCTGATTCACAATGAGAGTGGGCCGCAGGCTGGGTGGGAGATCCATTGCCAGTGGCGGGGCTGTGGGCTGAAAGGATCTGTTGATGATGAAGCGCGAGAGCGCATTATTGGTCATCCATTCCTGGCTATATCCTAGAACAGCGATGTTGCAGATAAACGCTCGGAATACATAGGGTTTAATTTAGCCAGTGTCAGCAAGTCATGAGCTTGCCCGGCAGGTCTCCAGGTAGCTCCTGGGGCTGACTTGTAGACCGGGGGTAGCATCTGGTAGAGATATAGATAAGGTAGAAGACAGATTGATGTTCCCTGTTTAGTCTCCAACAGCGATTTGACGGGCTTGCTGGGCTCTTAGGATTAATAGTATTATGCAGATACTAATCTTTTATTAGGCCCTCGAAGATAAGGCAGGAATATATAAAGGTAAATAAAATTTGGCGTTACCTTTGGGAGAAGCCATTGTTAACAATGACGGTTTTCTGCCGCATTATATAAGCTAGGCAGTAGATAACCTTTATACTTAGCTACCTTAATTATTAAGATCCTAGGAAGAGCATTATTTTTTACTTTATAAAAACCTTTGCCCTTTACAGTGGTAGCATGTTTAAGTTAATTAGCTATTAAAAATTAAAAACTATATAATTATTTATTATTTTTAGGTTTTTTTATTTAATATATTTATATGCCTTATTTTTATTAATATTTAATTAACACCTAGTAAGCTTTACTATACTAAGATTTTTATTAATTAATTACCTTATTAATTTACTTTTTTACCCTTATAAATTTACTATTTATACTATAAATTTATTATTTAAGATTTATTTTTTCTTAGTATCCTACACTCCTAATTTTTTTTAAATTTTTTTTTTCTTGCTTTTTAAGCCTTTTTTCTTTACCCTTTAATATTATTATAGGGTGCTTTTTTTTTACTAAAGTTTTTTATAAATTTTACCTTTTATTACTGCCTTTATAACCCTGCTTTTAATACCTTAGTTTTCTTAAAATTTTTATAATAGTTTAAATTAATAATTAGTATAACTAATATTTAGCTAAAGGTTAGCCAAGCTTGCTTATTAATTAAATATTTTTAAAAAAATAAAACACGCTTTTATTATTAATTTTAATTATATTATAAAATACTTAATTTTTTGACTAAGTATTTTAATACTTTTTTATTTATTTAGCTTACCTTATACCCCCTTGGCTAGGATCTTAATTAATTTATACTTAATAAAAAAATAAAAAAAATTTTATATATAGTAAAAAGTAAAAGGCTTAATATAAAAAAAAGTTTTTAAGCTAGGTTAGTAAAAATCTAGTAAATAAAATTAAAATAGCTTTTTAACTTATAAACCTACTAGGTAAAATATATTTTTACTTAGTTTTTAAGATTACTAAACTAAAATAAAAAATTCCTACTTACTAACTTCTTAAAATTACTAAACTAAAACAGGAAATTCCTACTTATTAATTTTTTTATATTTCTAAAAATAATATTATAAAAAAAATTAAGCCTAAAATTACTAGGCCTGCTATAAAACACGTAAATACTAAATAAATTATTAATATTAAAGTTAATTATAATTTAAGCTTAAATACCTTACTAAAAATAGCGCGAGTAAAAAAATCCTAGTCTAGTATTAAATTTAATAATTTTAAAAATAAAATAGTTACTTATATAGCCCTAAAGCCAAAGGCTAAAGGCCTTTTTTAAAAAAAAAATATTAAGTTAGGAGCTATATTAGGCTAGTAATTTTTTTAAGTTTTTAAAAGCTTAAAATTAAGATTTATTTTTTAATTATAATAACCCTTTAAATCTACCTTGCTTAGCAAGTAACCTATATAAATATAAATTATAAAAATATTTAATTAATTTTTTTTTAAATTATTTAGCTAACTACTATAACTATAATAACTATATTTATTAATATTACCTTAGCTTAGATTTTAATAGCTATTTAAATAATAAATACTAGTATTAATTAAATTAATACTATAATATAATAAAGTAATAACCGCTTAATAAAGTTAGAAAATTAGCTAAATAAAATATAATAAATATAAAATAAATAAAATTAAAAAGTAAAGCTAAATTATTAAATTAATAAATTACTAGCTTAGCTAACTAAAAATAATAAAAATAATAAAAATATAATAAATAAAAATAATAATAAAAGTAGTAAAATTCCTCCGGGACCTCCTGGAAAAAAGCTGGATAATTTAAATAATAGTAAAGAAGATCTAAATTTAGGAAACCTTGGTAGTTAAAAGTATTTAAATATTAAAATATTATTTTACTAGTAGCCTATTAATTTAATTATATTTTATAATAACTAAAAAACTAAAAAATAGGCTTTTTTTATCCTAATTTAAAAAAAAATATAGCTATTAAGTTAAAAGGCTTTTATATATTTTATAAAAATATTTATATATTTATAAACCAGCTTCGCAATGTAATTGTGTATAAAAAAATTTATAGTAAAGGCTAATTTAATTATTTACTTTTATAAGTTTACGCTTAATTAATATATATTATAGCTTTTAAATATTAAAAAGCTTGGTTTTTAAAAGGGCGCTATAAAAAAAATAAATTTTTTTATTAATTAAGTATTTTAAGCCAAACCCTTATACCTTTTTTATAAAGCTTTAAAAAATAAAGTATAGCTTTACTAATATAAAAATTAAAAGCTTACCTAGATTTTATACTTAAAAAATTATTAAATATTATTATGGCTTTAATATTTATAATAAGGCTAATTAAATTTTAATAATTTAATTTTATTTAAATTTCTTCCTGTGTTAGTATATTCTTAAGCTAAATAAATAAATTATATTAAATATATTTTTTTAAATTTTAAAGTTTAAAAAGTTTTTATAGCAGGACTTACTTATAAAATATAATAAAAAAAAGTTTTTTTATTTATTTATTTTTTTAAAGTAAAATTATAACTTATACTAAAATTATTTTATTTATAGCTTTAAATTTAGGCCTTATAAATAATAAACTAACTTTAAACCTAGCCCTGCGCGTAGTAATTATAATTACTAAGGCTATTTAATATATACCCCGCGCCCTTATAATAATAGCTAGAATTATTTAATATTAAATTAAAATTATTTATTATATAACTAGTAATAAAACTATAGCTAGTAATAAAATTATAGCTAGTAATAATAATATTATTTTTTAGCTTATTATATAAACTAGTTCTTAAACTTTTAAAATAAAAATTAAAAGATAAACTATTATTAATAAAACTAAAATAACTTAATAAATTATTTACAAGCTTACGCTGCTAATATAAATACTTTACTTAATATTAACTAGTAAAACCTTAATTAACATGCTTTTTACTAAAATATTAACCTATAATTTAGTTAAAATATATATTTTAGTAACTTTGCTTACTTTATCCCTTTTAAAATTAATTTTTTTATATATTATAATATATAGTATATTCCTGCCTTTAATTATTATTAAAACCCTATAATATTTAATAAGTAAAATAATTATAAAGTTTTAAAATTAGATTTTAAGCCTAATATTAATACTAATTTTATAAATACTTATTATTAATAATTTAAAATAGTTACTTGCTAAGATTATTAAGTAAGTTTTTTATTAAATAATACCTTATATAAATACCTAAAAACTTTTTCTAAATATTATTATTTTATAAAAAGCATGTTAAATAAAAAAATTAATACTTTATATATTAAACTAATTATTAATTTAGCTATAGCGCAAATTATTAAATTTAATTAAAAACCTTATAATACCTTTTTATTATAAACCTACTATAGTATTATAGTTTTAGCTAGTTTAAATACTATTACTTATAATATAAAAGTTATTTTTAATATTAAATATTTTTAATTTATTAATAACAAGACTTTCTTGTAGAGCATTTTAAAAGTTAAAATTATTTTTATTAAGTAAAAAATCTATATAAATAGTTTTTATATTAAAATATCTTTAAATACTTATACTAAATTTAATATATATTTTTTAGCCTAGTGTTTAATAATTTATTTATAAAGTTTTTTATTACTACTTTTTTAATTTTTAATACTAGTATTAATTTTTTACTAGGTATAAAAATCCTAGCAGGGGAGAATATTATACTATTTAATAATTATTTTATAATATTTATAAAATTTTATAAAGGGCTAAAAGTTTATATAACTTATTAAGCTTTACTTAAGGGCAAGTAGTTATTAAGCACCCTTATATTTACTTTTTATATTATAATTATCCTAGCGCATTTTAAAGTTTATATTTTAATTTAAATTAAAGTAAAGTTATTACCTA